CCAGGATCTACAAAAGCAGCTGGTTTTCCCCTTGTTCTCCGCGTCCTGCTTTCTCAAGTAGGTAAGTTGAGATAGGGACACCCAGTGACATGCTGCTCTTGGATCCTGGGCAGGTGGAGAGCTGGAGGTGCCGGGGACCAAACTCAGCAGCTTCCCCGAGGTACTTGGGGCCCAAGATGCTCCCTGCTGAAGAGTCGGTCTGTGGAAGGGCTCATCACTGACCTCGGCCACAAAGCCCTCATGTCTGTCCCTGAAGATCATAGGAGCTCAGTGGTCTTCCCAGCATAGGCAGATCACCTCTGTATGCTCTGTATGCTAGCATGCCGTAGTCAGCAGGTGAGAACTGGCAAAACCGGATTGTATTCAAATACGGTTGTTAGCTTTTGTTCCGTTGAAAGCAGACCTTCGTCTTGGCAAAGATACCGTTTGGCCTTATACACTTGGTTGATTTAGAGAAGGTACTAAATTGTAAGCTTGCTTTAGCAGTTAAAATCTCTCTACGTGGCTGTAATGGCCAAAAAGTAATGTGACTTAAAATTCTCAGAACCGTGCCCAACACTTACTTTGGATTTGCCTTACAACAGAAGCGCAAAGCTTTCTTCATGAGAGAGAGCAAGACGACAAAGTCTGGCCTTGAATCGGTAATGAACTGTTCAGTGAACTGTATCCTCGAGAAGAGTTCTTTGCTCAGTGTGCGTCCCCTCAGACGCAGCCTATGGCATGGAGAAGAGCCTGTGGGGCTAACCTATGTCAGATAGGATGTCATGAACCATAACTGCTGCAGGTGAAAGAGGGGCCCACAGCCAGTTTCCGTGGTAACTGGTAGGCACCTGCAGCTCTTTGACGCAGTACTGGATCTGTCCTTGTCTGTGGATAGAGCATTCAGTGACGGACATATGTAGCTGTCCTGGCAAAGCCTCACCAGGGTTCATTTTGTGGAGGGCGAGCTATTTTTCCCTTTCTAGCAAGGCATTTTCACTCGTGTTGTGTTGAGCTCCATCCCTCATTTTATTTAGCTTGTATTTGTAAATATTGGGGATAACTTTTATTGTTTGTTTGAAACATTTCTTTCTGTTTTGTTACAGCCTGCACTGAATTTGCAGACTCACCCAAATTTGCATCTAGTTCCGCTGCTGCCTGAGGTTCTGTTTTGGTAGCTTGCTGCTTGCAAGGAGAAAGAAAACATTATATGAGCTTGTAAAGTCATGGAGAGTCATTTGCTAAAGCCGTAAAGATTGGATGATGCGCAAGATTTCTAAAAGATCAATTCTGCTCTGCAAGAGCAATTGTTCTTTGCATCACGTGCAGTATCAGGAAGCAGGTTCGTTTGAGTGTGAGACTGGGTTCCCTAGCGTTCTGGTTACCACTCGTAGCTGTTAAAGTGTTAAACTACAATGGGTTTGTAATCAGATCCTGCATATCCGCTCCTTTTGTGGTATCTTGCTATGCACCCTGAAGCTTTGGTCTACAATGCAGATATTGCTTGAGTTAGGAATGAGTGGTGATTGTCAAGATTACGGAGGTGGAGATTAATTCTTGATTTGAGATTATATCTGGAACTATTGTGCACTATTTGTGAGATTGTTCTCCAAATCAGTAGTTTTAACACTCTTTGTGCTGCTCAACATTGAGATGTTTTGTTTCACGAAAGAGTTGTGAGCAAGACAGAGCATGATTAAAAATAAAACAGCATTCTCCAGACTCCTGTAAGGTTTCTGGTAAACATTTGTAACTAAACCTACCTCGCACCACACTCCTCAGGTGACTGCCAAAGGGATTTTGAAGTGCTGGAAGTAAGAGGAGAGAGTGACAATCACATTTTGTGTGCTCATATGAGGATGCCCAATATGCTTTAACCTGCTCCTTTTTTCCTCTCTGTTGTTAAGCATCAGCAACATTAAAGCTAGATAGCTGAAAGCAGTTTTATCACTTTGCAGTGGTGCCTGGCCGTGTTCCGCAAGCAGGGCCTTCTGAAGCCGGGGAATGCTTGCAATTGCAGTTCAGGTTTTGTTCTCTGGGACATCACGCCTTGAACCAATCAAGACTGGTGAGCTAACAAGTGAGAGGGACCTCCTGTTGTCTTCGGTGGTTTTTTTACTTCACAGTTTCCAGAAGGAATGATTGCTACAAAAAAACCCCTCAGCACAGCACTTAAGGAAGTGCCTGTAGAGAGGAGAAATCAAACTGGTCACTAGACAAACCATAAGCTTTCACAGGCTTCTGATGTTTTTCCCCAAAAAACCAAAGGACATTTTTAGAAATGTGATAATAGGTATGATTTTTCTGAGATGCTGATGTAGGGACATTCAATGTAAACAGTCCAGGAAACGAGAGAAGAAACATCAGGTTCACCTTTCAAAGCCAAAGAAACATTTTGATAATCTAATAGCACACTTCTCTTATTGTTCTGAGCTTACACTGCTTCGGATACTTCAGCTATTCAGAAGTATCCTCCAAGTTGCGCTTGTGTATTTGGACGATTTTAGGTCTAAACTACAACACATAACCAAACGAGATCTTAGAAACTGAGTATGGTTGGTAATAGTTGCCTTTGAGCACCGGTTACAGTGCCTTCCCAACTAGTAATTAACTGATTAGTTCAAACCCATTTTTTGCCTACGTTCATCTGGTACATTTTCAAGCGGCGGATGGTGATGTTACCGGTGTCTAACATTAGGTGCTGTGCTGAAGCATGTTTTAAGTGTTCATCAAAAATATGTTCAAAGTAGATAAGACATCAATTCTTTGCAACGTTTTGCGAAGATGTATGTAAGTTTGGCGGTGTAAGGACACTTAAAGACTGTCATCAATGCTTTCAGCAAACAATTTTTTTTGTAAGTTAGTTTATCAAAAGCCTAATTAATACAGCCATGGGCAAGCAGATCAGCCTCAGCTGGGGGCTGCTCGCAGCTGTTGGATCGCTTTCTCCTTAAAGTCTTGTGAGTAGTGTCCAGGATACTAGAAGGTGGATTTTGTTCTGCCGAGGTCCGCGATTGCTTGCTGCCCATTTCAGTGGGCATCTGCTGTGAGCAAAGGATAGGATTCCATCTTGCTGCTTTTATAGGCACAAATCTCTGTTTTCCTGTTTATTTAAGTTTTGAGGTAATGGAAGTTACATCATTGTACAGGATCAACAGTTACTTAGTAGGCAAGTCTGAAACATCAGCTAAATGTCTCGAAAACATACAAGGACAGGTACAGGCCTACGCTACAGTTGGTACGTTTAACAGTCGTGCCCATATTTTCACGTGGTCAATAACTTGCAGGTGTTTGAGGTGCCTTTTTGATTCCCAGCATGACTTCAGAAGGTCTGTCTATACAGTAAGCTTAAAGAATGGAAGTGATACAAAAATTGCTACTTCTGTGAATATTACATACCTGATCACTGTGTACAAAAAGTGGAAGATTCTGGCGTGAGTACATGAAGTTCAAGTTTTTGGATGAAACAGAGTAAGAGCAATGCATTGAGCATATATATATATAGACATACGACATACAATGTGCATATACTGAATGTACATAAACATACTCAATGTACATGTACACTGACTACAGGTAATGTGATTTACCCTTTGTATGATGTAGCATCATTAAGTTTTGATGTTACTGGATTAGCTGTACGTTTTGCTAAAAATGTTCAAGAATATAACAATTTCTGTATGCTCTATATTTGTCGGATATTAAATCACTTCCAGGAGAAGCTCGGAAGAGGAGAAATGGGTGGAACTCTGGAATGGGACACAGTAGATTTGACTTTGTACTTGACCTGGCTGCTGGTTGATCTTGGACATGTGGCTTTCTCTCCCTCTCTCTGTTTTCCACCTGTTAAATGCAGATGATTACTAACTCAGACCCCTTATAACACAACAGTTTGAAATCTCCTGATAGGAGTAACAGCTAATTCTTAGTGAAACTTCTGTACAGGGTTCTGGTAACAATGAGACATAATTTTAGTTACTCCCAGATAAAACCCATACCCTTATCCATTACTTCACTTCCCCTCCAGCCCCCAAAGCTATCTTTTTCAGTATCTCACTGACTTGTTTTTAAGTCTCGAGACCCTTAAGACGGACCAGGTACTTTCACTTCAGTGAGCAAACGGATGCAAGATCGTTTCTCTTGGGAAGAGGCAGATCATCGTCTCTCTTCCCTTTTATATTCCCTTGTTCTTAAATGCCAGAGATTATGATCCCAGAAATGTAGATGATCTTCAGTATTTTTGTGGACAATGCTCTTTACTAGCCGTTTGGACTTTGAAGAAACTCCGTATTGAAGAACAGCTACAGGCCACTACAGAACGCAGAGAAGATACAGGGAAGATAGCAGTCCTTCTTGGAGCACTGTAGTGCCACGGAGTACAGCCTGGCACTCCCAGCTGATAAACGGCTGGCTTTCTCCTTGCACTCACGGGAGGGATTTTTGGAAATGCCAGGAAAGAACCATGACCTCACAGTTTCTTATCTCCTGTGCCAAGGGAATCTTCACAGGAGGTGATCGCCAGTGGCGTTTCTTTGAGACAGTAGTTGCTGTCAACATTACTGCCCTCTTAATTTGATACAAACGTGTTTCGGTTATTTCAAAAGCTTTCATTGTAGAGGAAACGCTAACGACCCTGGCTTACCTCATTTTTCATGCTTCCTTTTGTTTTGCTGTGATAGCCCTGAGTAGTCAGTATGAAAAGCAGGCGCAAGAATCATGGATTTGCTGCGAGAATAACTTCAGAAATTTGTTAGTATTAACAGCAGCAGTATGTGTGTGAACGTGTTACCTGATACGAGGGGAGAATCCCAACTAAAATCTTGTTGCTAAACAAGTGACAAAGACCTTACAAGCAGTATGAGACTCCAGGCCAACTATGGTTATATTAATAATAGTAATAATAAATCAGATCTCGTCTGTGAGGTTTTTTTATATGGAATAGTATACACATAGGAGGATTTTTTTACCAATTGTTACTCTTCTAACTTTAGTTTGTTGGGGTTTTTTTTCTTTTTTCCCAGCATTTACTAAATGCTGTCAAGAAACCGGTCTTCTTATGGTGGTGAAATGTCGGCAAGAGAACACAGCACTGAAAGACTGTCTGGTTGGCTAGTAAGTCCCTCGTGAGTTTTTGTTGTTTTTTTTGTTGTATGGCCTATACTAATCTCGAAATGAGTAGAAATCATAAATCTTCTCAAAAGGGTTTTGCAAGGTTAGTGACTTTGATGTGTTTTCTGAAAATTGCATCTTCACTTTAGAAAAAAACGTGCCGGTCAGGGCCCTACCTGACAAGATTTTATTTCCTTAATAAAGCTGTCCTATGGCTATAAAGACTCTCTTCTTGATTTAAATGGTGACAGATCTAGATTTTCAGCCCAAACAACATGTAGCCCTGTATTCATTACACTGAATTACGTATGTGGGGAATGGGGGTGAACAGCAGAAGCACCTTCATACTCTGTTAGTGAGACAGGGTAAGTTTGTTTTGATTTTGCTTCTTGAACTGGTTTTTAAGATTTAGTCTTTGTCCTGAAAGTGTCCTGCTGTTGTGAACAGCAATAGCAGCAGCAACAGGAAATTGTTAGAGACTAAAGAGGTCAACTTGATGCCATGGTGGATTGAAACGTCTCTTTTGGAAGTCCTAATTTATCCCCAGTGCCATCAGGCTGAAGTGTTAGATTCTTGAATTTCCCGGAGTGAGGGTTGGGGATTTTTTGAGCTTGACTGGGGGGTGGAAGGGGGTTGGTTTGTTTTTTAGTGGAATGTGTGTCCTGCCCTGCCCTGTTAAACCAGAGATTAAGATTAAATGCCTTTAAACTAGTGACAGTTATTCTCAGGTATCTGGGAATTGATGAAAAAACATGTGCAGCCAGGCAAGAGTTCAAGCCTAACTGTAGTGAGAACTTGCTGGAGTTACTCAGTTTTATTTGTCTATAGCTCCATGCATTAAATTTTGCCTTTTTTTTTTAAAAAAAAAGGGGGGCAAAAAAGCAACACCCAAACCAAATACACACTATTGAAAAAAATGTTTAGTGCTTGAATAATTATACTTAAAATCAATATTATGAGAAAAATGAATTGAATGATCAAGGACCTACATGTTTACTGTTCAAGACATACACTTGAACCTGTTCCCAGTAGTTGCTTGAGTGCATAAATGTAAGTGTACTCCAGCAGCTTCCCATGCTGAGGATGCTGCCAATAATAACAAATGATTGAGCTGAACTGAAATACCAAATGTCTTTCCCTTTTTCTACCTTTCCTCTTCATGGCTTCACTGTAGAGGCTTGAAAAGGGTTGTGCCACAAGACAGAGCAGTATCATGAGAGAATGCAGACCAACGCAGTATTTAGAGTTTACGAAGATAACTTTAACCGCTTATGTACTTTATAAAAAAAGGTATTTCTTATTGAAGGCAGGCAAATTTTCTTTGGGTGTGAAAGGAAGATCAGTTATGAGTGTTATTCATGCAATATCTGTTTCATATTCCAAAATGAAAAATAATACTATGTATTTGTCTGTCTTGTAGCTATTCTGATCCATTATTCTATGAGGAATGCAAAACAGAATATTTGAAGCAAAGAGAAGAATACAGAGCAACTGGAATTAAGAAAAAAAGACAGACGCTTACTTCAAATGTGTAGTTAAAACTTAATGAACTTTTCAGATTTTATATCCAACTTTGGTTTGACTTGATTTAAACAGACTTCAATCATCTGTACCCATCTGTGTGGAATTTAACTGAAATACACAAAATGCGATGAACGGAGAATAAAATAATCTCTGAACTTAAAAGTCAATTTTTTTTATTTTCTGTAATTAAAGCTATAAAGCATGCTGTCACAGTTTGCAAGAGAAGTTGCAAAGGTCCTTGCCTCTGTCTGGACTTGAGATTTTGAAACCAATTTACAAATGGCCTTTTGGAATTTAAAGCTTGCGTCTAGTTATGTGTGGCAGGCTTCATAAAAACTCAAGGGTGAATAATTTAAGTTGTATTAACTGATCACAAATTGGGTATACATTAAAATTGGGTCTATTTGTCATCTGAAGCTGAGGGTGTATGGAGATGCTCTTGATGCTCTTACTGGAAGAGAAAGGTGGCAAATGCAGAAGAGAAGGGCTTCTTGGACCGATTTGATTTATCTTTTTCATGAAAATGTTGAGTCATACGAGAGCCTGATAGTACTTTTTGCCTACGCTGTGACTCATTTTTAAGTCTACGTTGTCAGAAGAGATGGATGCCCCATGCCCAGGTGTGGCCCAGACTGACTGTTTCGACTCTAGAGGAAAAAGTCATCTGACCTAGACCTTCCCTGAGCGTGGGAGAAGGCGCGCTGAAGGCAAAATCATCGAGAGCAGTATCCTCCCCTGCTTTCCTCTTTCAGAAGGAAGATGATTGTATAAGCTTCCACACTTCAGGAGTGAGCGAGTGACCACACTTGCAAAATTATTACGGGTAGAGGTGAGTAAACGGCTAAACTAGGTATGTAAGATGCAGGTCACTTCTTGCAGAAACGAAGGGTAAGCAAGTCCCCATTTAAAAAGGGGCATACAAAGGATCTTTTGTATACGGATACTTGAAGCTGCATAATTGTAGAACTCTCAAATGCATAAACGGCTTCACTAGAGCTAGTCTGTAAACTTTGTATTACTATTTTGGGGTATCATCTTTTGAAGCATTTTGGAAGAAAAAATTTCTTTACAAGTAAGGAAAGGCTGCATTTAGAAAACTTACTCACGTGGTAACTTTAATGCCCCGATTTCACAAAAAAAGATTTTTGCCTGAGTAAATAGTAGGATTTGTTCCTTTTCCCATCAGAACATGCAAAATTTGACTTCTTTATTTTAGTACTGTTTCACCACGAAACACCAGTACTGCTTTAAAGCTATTTGAGTAGGAAATTCAAATCAGACTTTGAGACACATATGTGAAGTACTTAAGTTAACGTTGCAGGTTAGTCCTTGTCCTTTATTCTGTGCCTTTTACTGGAATAATCAATAATAATGTTGCTTCTGCTATTACACAGCAGATCGGCTGGAGGACTAGGGAATGCTTGTGAATGAAAAACTGAAAAGATGTGTAGCATTCTGCCTTGTCAGGCAAACTGCAAAACTAGCCACCTTAAAATAGCTTCTGTGGAATAAAGTTTCCTACACATGTACTTGCTCTTGGCTTCTCGGTTCAAGCATTTTGGAAAACAAAAATATTCCAGATCAGTTAGTGGAAAATTAGTTGTTTCCCTGTATGTATTTAAAAAAGAGGAAACTTAAGGTAGATGGTGAAATGTTTTTTAATGACAGCGACTTGCTCTGTTATCCTACTATGAAAATCTGCTCCGTTTTCAGATTTTCCAAAATCTGCTCTGGAAAGCAAGCCTGGGCGTTTGTAACTTTTGTCAAAAGCACTTCCAAAGAGGATTTGGGCTGGAGTGAGCATTCTCTTAGAAGCAAGTGCTGTGTGCTGCTAGTGGTACATGCCTGTGCCGAGGGCTCACCTGGGTCTCACTCAGGTTCACACCACAGCTGGTGAACACAGACAAGAGCACCAGCCACAGGTTTCTCCTTGTCTGGCTTAGCAGAAAGTGTGTTCAGCAGGTGAGGGGGAACCCCAGTGCATTGACTAGTACTGCTGGTGAGGGATTAGTGCCTGTAGTGGAACAAAGCCCAGTTTAACCTGCAGGTCTTGCTCCCCCACCATTCTATACATGCCTTATGTGAAGGACTGCAACAACTCACTTCTGCACCGATAACCAGGCTCTACTGTCAAGCCTGAAATTGCATGTACTGAATTATTCTGTCAACCATTAATTTCTCTTCACCTGCACTGTTGTGTGTGTAAGGAAGAACTGGGTTATTGCAGCTCCTCCTTTGTGTACACACTTAGAGCTGGGCTTCGCCCTTGGCTCTGGCATCAACTTACTCTGTAATACACCACGGCCTTAATTTGATGTTTCCTAGTTTTGAATTCTTGATTTCACACCTTTCACTTTAATGTTTCGTGCAGTATCCTGTATTTTAATTGCATTTATATCTGTTATTTAAAGTTTAAATGAAAGATGGAGTACCATGAAGTGACAAATTCATACTAGTATAAATTGCTTTTGGTTTTGTTTTTGTCTCAGCTGCAACCTCTGCTTCCTACTCAGGTTAACAGGAAGCAGCCCTTGATTCTAGTCAATGTAAGAAAACATCAGTAGTATTGACAAAGCCTTAAGCTGTGCTTCAGCAGTGAACTGGAAGCTTTTTTGCTACGTGTTGAATCTTCTTTTAAAAAGCACTTCCATTTTGTCAGAAGTTACTCGTGAATGATGAGAGGGTATAGCTCTGAAAGCCTAGCTATCTTCCCCCCTCAGCCCCTCCACCTCCCAGCAAAACAAAACCTGTAACTGCCTGTACTTACTGAGAGTAGCCAGCTACAGGCGATTAGGAAGGGAGCTGACATGGCTGCAGACATGCAGTACTTCACCTAGCCCTCTCCATCTAAGCCAGGGATCGCAACTCTAATTAATGGTCCCTAGATGCTTCTTCGTATGTTTTTTGGTTTTGAAATCAATTCTGCAGGATTCTTATACATTATTTATTCAGGGTAGGAGTAGACAATTGGTGGAATTAATCTAGGTGTGTCTCCAGTGTTTTCAAGTTAGCTTGTTAATATAAAAAGGTTACCTAAGTGCAGAGGCAGGGACTAACTCAAGTAGGTCAGCCAAAGTCTGAAGTGTGGCAATATCGCTAGCCCATCACAGTCAATATTTGCCTAAGTGCCTGATGTTTTCTAACACGTGACCTTAAAAATTACAGTGGCATTACCAAGTGTTTGCAGTTCCAATTTAAGACTGCCTTTTTACAACTAGAAGTTTTCACAAAGTTGTGCGTGGCTTTCACCGCAGCTGTACAACTAGCCTGCACCCCGTGCTTGCCTCCTTTAATGGGAGCCGTGTGCTCAGCCCGTTTAAAACCATCCACTATGTGGCACTATTGATTGACACTGATGGAATGAGGTCTTACAGCTAGAAGACTGATGTGTCACCTAGCACCCTCACACAGTGCAGCAAGGCGTCTGTCACAGGTTCTGCAGCAAAGGGGCCTATCTTTGCCTCTTTGTAGCACTTGGGAGAACTTGGCAAGCGCCCGGGACACCCACATTTTTCAGTTCTGGCTACACTCTTGCAGCGTACTAAAGCTCTCCTCAAACTCCTGAGAGAAGCCCCCTACAAATGTGAAATCTAAAAGGAAGGAAGAAAAGGGTGTCATATACTTACTTTAAAAGTTTGCCTTCATAGAGTGAAATGAAAGATGAGCAGCATTCCGTAACGGCCAGGATTTTCAGAGGAGTGGAACCACCTACCATTGCAGTCTCCAGGTCCTCACCCAGCAATTAATCTGTAAGCTAGAAACCCATTCTGCCTCATATTTAGTACAGCCATACTCTGGTTGAATACAGTTGAAACGTTAAGTGTTCCATCTAGTTAAAAATCAGTTCAGTAACAATAAGCACCTGGTTATTTCTTTCATGCTTCTCCCCTAGATCAAACATCCATACTCAAAACACCATCATCTTACCACTTAATTACTGTATCTTGAATTGTCTTGATGTTTGAACCACTTTGTCTCTTCCATCTTAAAATATAATGAAATAAATTCTACTGGACACTGATCTCAGTTCACATCACAACACATTTACTACAGAGAACGGATTTTTAAAAAAAAAAAAATTGTTCAACTGCTTATCAGACTTGGGAATTTGCAACTCGATTAAAATTAGGGTTTACCTTTAGTGCTGACAATAATAAAAAAAAAATACTTTGGTCCACTGTCTTATGTTCATACAATTGCAAGTAGCACAGCACACCCCCCCCTACAAAAAGGGGCAAAAGCCTGACCCTTAAAGAAACAAAGCAATACACCAAACCCCCAAAAACCCACATGCCTTTTTTGTATTCAAACTACACAAAGCAACAGGGAAACACCTTACTGCTCTGCGACCGCTGTTCTTCACAGGGCCTGTCTGAAGGTCAGAAGAAAATGCAGGTGAGTTGGTCAGGTACCGGAGCTTTTTGCTCTTCCTTTAGCAGTAAGTCTGCTTTACGTCACCAGTATAGTTCATATTATACTTGCATGGGCCTGTGTTAAATTATTTGGAATGGGTATTGTCCTACTGTAACTCCACCATATGTCTAGTACTGCTCTCGTCTTTTTCCAGCTGTAAAAATTTGACCGTGCATCACAGCTAATTTGGGAGTTTGCTTTCTTCAATATGGCTAGTTCACGTAAGAGGAAAACTAATCAGTTGTAAACCCACAAAACTGGCAGGGAGACTTAAAATGATCAGATTTTAAAAATATTTAAAATGAACCAAACAGTGGAAGTTTACAAATGAGTTATTAGAAGTTAGTCCAACTCTCCAAATATCCAAATACATATTCATCAGCTTGCCATATGCTCACTTAAATGTGCAAAGCAACAACCTCCTCCTGCCCCAAAAGCTGTCTTCCATTTCTGTTACATGCAATCAGTGCTTTCCTAAATTAAAAATTGTCAAATGAGTGGGTTGGGTGAAGTTTTAAAAATGTTCAAAGTTTGCATTCCAGTGAATTTTTTTTGTGTGTCATGTAACATACTTATTTGAGGACTTTGGTCCATACTTTATGCAATTTTACGGTTTTATATCACAAATGCATGTGTGCACACAAAACACCAGAACCTCTTTGCTACAGCTACTTCTGCATGTAATTTGCTGTCACTGTGATGAAAAGCTTTCGCTTCTGAAAATGGAAAAAGCACTGTAAGCCACTAGTGGCATGGATTTAAATGACTTTTCCATCCCGAGACAAAATTTGATTGTATGCTTCAGACCAACAGATGCTTCACGAGCCAGCTAGCTCCCAACTGACTTCAAATTCTGGGGACTTCCTTTTCAAATGTTACGGTTTGGCCACAGCAATGAGTGAGTGGATGGGAAATGCTGCCTACAGCAAGCTCTCCGTCATCCTGCCCTCCTCTCTCGGGTATCAGCAGTCCTTCTGAAGCCTCTCTCGGCCAACATCACTGCTCCCTTCTCCAGCACGGGAAGCAGCACAGAAGATATACCACGAGTCAAAGGCAAAGCCCGGAAATTCACAGGCACTGCACAGAGAAGCCTGATTTTAAGAAGTTTCCCTGTCACAGAGGACAAGCCGACCAGGAACCTGTTGACACAAATAGTCAAACCACAGGAACATGCCGTGGCTTAAGGTAACTAAGTCCTTCAGGTTTCAACATGTAGGAGAATGCTTCTCCCAGAATACATCGAAGCAGTCTACAGAGGATGTTTGTTTTTTCCTGAGCAGAGGAGGATGAACCTCAAATAAATTGTTTGTATTTGCAATGACCCTTATACACAATCAAGAAATTAAAGCTGAGTAAAAAATTTTGTGCCAAATACTGAAAGGAGATTTGTAAGTGAAACCGATTTCAAACAAAAATAAATTTATTTAAAATCTTACACAGTAGAATTCCTTCATTGCACAAATCAAAGTATTAATCCCGTTGATGTCTGTTGGATAATACATTACTTAATAAAAAACCTCTGTAATGTTGAGGTGGGGAACCCCCAAAAAGTAAGCTACATTAGAACTAGAGACTATATAGCTTATGCAGCCACATGAGAAATGTTTTCTGCTGCTTTGTTATTACACAGGTAGTTGGTTCTATCAGCTAAAGCCCAGTGACTTGGATTTGTTTTATGCATATTGGGTTTTGTTCTATTACTTTCCAAGAGATTGTACTCCCCTGAGTCAGCTGTGTTCATTGGTCAGAATAAATTCCAGCATCTGACACCATTTCCATTAATCACAGACAAGCCAGTATACGTGAGCAAGATAATAGAAAGATAAAAACAGTATCTGGTGAATGGGAAACATTATTTATGTATGCTGTTCACTAATACAGTAAGAAGGTATCTGGGAAGGCATTTTTTTCAACTTTGATAGACAAACTGAAAGAGGAAAAGAAGATGGGCATCATACGAAGTACTTACTCCACAGGGAAGGAAGTGTCTGGAACCACACAGGTCATGCAGCACTTTGACTGTATCACAGCCGTAGTAATGATGGGCTGTAAAAGCGTTGCCATAGTTTCCTCATGTATTTGCAAGCATTTTTTAAGATAATTTGCTACTAAAAAGCTGAGAAATTAATTTTTATTACACTGATCTTAAGTGGACCTGTGAAGTCGAATACTTCACCCACCCACACATCTGTAAATAACATATTTAGTATTAAGCGTCTCCCCACCCATTACAAGTTCGGTATCCTAGATCTAAAATACAAAGCATTTTTCTTCAATGTATTGAGCAGTCAAAGGCATTTCACTTAACCCTGTTGTATTAAGCCAGATATGAAGCAGAGCAGTTTAAAAAAAAAGGCATAATTGTATTTGTCTAAGAACAGTTCTTGGCCTTAAGAGGAAAAAAAAAAGTACTTGGACACCCATAGTCTATAAAGCAGGCAGTTGCAATTCAAATAACTAGTTCTTATTGGCATACTAAAGATACCACAAAAATACTTCTTTATATATATCAACAATGCTACAACACCTAGTCCGATTAAATTAAGGCTTTGTTTCTTTAATAAAAGAAAAGTTAGTAGCCTTCACCACCACACAAATACAAAGTCAAGGTTCTGGTGCTGTGCAAAGGAGGCACAATAAGGATAACTGCACTGTGAACGGGATGATTCTGTGGCAGGCACCACTGTGCGCAGGATTAAGTCGGTTTCCTACAGCATGGACTGAGGGAAACGAGCTGAACATCCAGCATTCACAGTGTTCAGCAGCATTACGTACGATCCTTTATAATTCACAGTAAGGCCCAAAACGGTGCAATCGAAACAGGATAGCCTAGCAGTGATTTTTCTCTTGCCACTACCTAATATAAATCGAGATTTTGACCAAAAAGAAAAAAAGTCTCACCTTTCTTGGTTAAAAATTACATAAAAATGCATTTCTAAACCAGAGGAATCAGAAAAGTTAATTGAAAGGAAGAAGGGAGAGATAATCCAATTCTTCATTTTATGTCTTACTCTGAGAAAACCCACTGTCAAAAAATAAGCTCAGAGCTGGTACAAGTTTTAACACAGGATACCAAGTATTTTCTCGATAACATACAAATAGCAAACAAATACAGAACCAGATTACTTTGTTTTATTCCAAGAACTCACTTTTCAGTGTAATCTTTTGCAAATGTATGCCATTTGCAGTACAAGACTATCTAGGCCCCAAGCTAGATTTCTTTATATTTACATCGTACCAGCACAGCTTTAACTTCAAGGAACTTGCTCCTGATTTACAGCAGAGGAAGACTGGGCTTTCTGTTTTGGAGCTAGAATTAAAAATAAAGAAAGAACATTAAAGACGGTTTGTTTTCCCTCTTTAAAAGTTCAAGCGTTAAGGTGCCTATTCAGAACCATCCTAAAAAAGCCTCAGTTCACTCTAAAAATTGTTTAACTCTTGTGCAGACAGTTTTGATTACACTGATCCAGGTAATCTGCTGGACAGTTTAACAAGGTTGGTTTATTTTTCATTTCCCAAAACACATTCTCATTAGGCTTTGGAGGACTTGGGAATACCCAGGAATTATCTTCCAGAGAGCTCTTTCCATAAGAATGGTGTTCCTGAAATGTTTTGCCATCAACTGGAATGGGTCTCTCATTTGTCCATGCTTGTAGAGTCACCCTTTCAGGTGGGATTTTTAGGTCTCTCAGCAGAGAGGGAGACACAGCATTGCAGAGTACTTTATCATTTTGTGAGAGTTTCTTATAGACTACCCCAGATGTCAAGTTCAGCTTTGAAATGTTCAAGTCAACACGTTGTACTGGTGCAGTAGAGGAAGCTGAAGAAAGAAGATAAAAGATTTTAAAGTGACATTATCTAATGCATTTTCCATATACTCCAAACGTACTACAGTACTGCAGGTGTGTTAAACCCAGTGTTTTCAAGCTACAAATTTTCAGACCATATTTTACCTCGGTAACTACTTAAAAGTTACGAACTGAATGTACTAACTGCCTCAGATTTTGCAAGATGAACCAGAGATCCTGAAATCGCAATGTCTAAAATACACCCAACACCAAGGAAACTTCCCAGTTCCCACTTGAACACAGATAAACTGATGACTCTTTTTGACAAGACTGGAATGAATGCTGAAACAGAGAGGATTTTCATGCACTTGGAGACATCGACCCGATTCAGAACATTGCTTACACAAAGCACGCTTCTTCCTACTCTACTGATTCTTTTAACAAGTTGTGTTCTCAGGCTGCCAAGAACCTGAATTCTCACTGTCCATGAAGCAGTAAGAGGGAAACGTATGGTGTTCACGGAGAACTCTGTGCTCCACTATTGTCTGACTTCTGAAAGTAAAGCAACAGACTGCAATATTCAGCCATCTGAAATTCCAGGGGAGTTTTAAACCACGCTAGGAAGGGGAGGATTTTGAAACAGCACAGCATCTACCTGAAATGAAAGAGCTGCACCTTCAACGCACGTCTGAACAGATGGCCGAATGCAACCAGGTCATTTATTGTAGTGATAATTTACATAACCATGTAATGGGAGTAGATTAATGATTCCTGCAGTTAAAGAAACTCACATCTTACAGGTCATTTTCTGGAACAGCTGTGAATCTTGAGCATGGACTGTGATTTGTAACTTTACTGCTTAAGGGACAGAAAGAGGAGCCAGTATCTTGGTCACAGAATACAACTTCCATTTGTCACTATAAATTAAAAGGTGGTACCCAATTCGCAAATGTCAGCCAAAAGCACCTTCCCATAGCACAGGCATCATATCTGAAAGACATGCTAAGGAACTGGATTTGGCCTCTTTGTGCTGACAGGTGTAAAAAGCAATTTGAGGTCTACAGACCTTTAGAAGTTCAAGAAAAATGGAATCCACTGAAAACGGACTGAAAATGTAAAAAAAAACCCAAACCAACCCAAAAGCGGACACGTTTGCTGAAAATGCCTCCATACATAAATGACAGCTAAGTAGAATCCGCATGTTAACTGATATTGTTAACATCAGACATGCAGCAATGAATACATTGTGTTCTGTAGACTTAACGCACCTCTTACAGCAGCAACTAGTTTGTATATGGTAAAATAACTAGTACTACAGGTATAGGAAGTGAAAGTTTTAAGTCAATTCTACCCGTATTTTGCATAAGCCAAGATTTTTCTATAAATATAAGCACAGATATATCTGCATTGCATTCGTAAGAGTGGCTGACAAGCAAGGTAAACAAAAAAAAATAAATAAATACAGTTTTAATTTCTGCTGAACCTGTTCACTCTCACATACTTCTGAAAAATTACTGAAAAAAGCCATTGCATTCTAAGAGTGGCTGACAAGCAAGGTAAACAAAAAAAAATAAATAAATACAGTTAATTTCTGCTGAACCTGTTCACTCTCACATACTTCTGAAAAATTACTGAAAAGCCTACAGAGCAAAAGACAAAAATCCACTGTTTCCCAATCTCCTGCATTGCATTCGTAAGAGTGGCTGACAAGCAAGGTAAACAAAAAAAATAAATACAGTTTTAATTTCTGCTGAACCTGTTCACTCTCACATACTTCTGAAAAATTACTGAAAAAAGCCTACAGAGCAAAAGACAAAAATCCACTGTTTCCCAATCAATCAATAATGTCTTTTATAGCTGTGGATGTATAACTGCATTAGCAACCTCAGAAAATCCGACTGTTCACCAGGTAGGAAAAGAGAAAAAAATTAGTACTTGTGTAGCGGCAAGACAGATAACTCCAAAGTAAAAATAAGGACAGAAAGATACTCCATGACCTCATCAAACCTCAACAGACTTCAGGATTAAAAACTCATACACTTCCCAGTTTCTCTGCTGAAGTTACTTGACAAATGTGCCTTAGAACTGTAGGAACACAGACTCACCTGGTAACAATTTGACCAAGTCTACAAAATGTGTTGATAGATTATCAGCCAAGTGCCAGAGAGTGATCCTGCATCACTGCTGGCCACAGACAAAGGCAGTGATTGACCTGGAGGTGAATCCTATCATTACCTCGCTGAGCCAATCAAAGCTGTTTAGAAACAAAACCTCTCGATCTCTAAGGGACAGGGCCATCAGAGACTGTCACCAATATATTGTAACCAAGTTCACCGTCTTTCACCAGCATCTTCTGTATTCTGAACACAGTAAACACAACTGAAGTGAGCAGAAAGCAAAGGAAATAAACACTGCGATGAACAGTCAGACTGGTAGTCTGGCCCCACCAGAGTAAGAACGCTTTCTTGTAAAGCATTTGGCTTGAGAGAAACATACGTATGAAATAGAAGAACCATCTGATGAACTGCTCACAGAAATTATACATATCTTATGTGGAAATTATTTTCCCCTTAATTATTTGCAATGTAGCAGCAGAAATAAGGCAGTTTTGCAGCCCCAGTATTTTGACATTCAGAAAATGTCATCT